AACCTCTATTCCAATCTCTACCCTATGCCACAAAGAAACCAAAAAATAAAAGCCCCCCTAAGCTAACTAAAAATCCTACAGAAACATGAGAAGGAAAGGGAAAGCACGAAAATGGCAAAAACAGAACAATGTTTTTGCCATTCTTTTTGAGTTTTTTTTTTCTACTTGGCTGAATCAAACTGTGCTTTATGGTCTCAAAAGTACTTTCCTGATGACTTCCAGATCCTACTTCCTCCGAGTGCTATCACTAATACAGTGCAATCGTCGTGATATTTTCTTCGATCTCCTTGCGGGATATCCAGAAGCTCGTGAAAACCCATTCCTGTTTAACAATCAAAATGCAATCCTCCTCAAAACCACCACATTGTAAGAGAAGAAGTTTTTTGTTTATTTACCAGCTTTCTTGGCTGCACGGACTAGAAGTTCCTGTATAACATGTTGAGCAGGATCTCCATCTAGAAACTTCTCCATGGCAAGAGATACAACTTCCTCATTGCTCAGGTATTGGTATAATCCATCAGACGAGAGTACCATAAACTGATCATTCTCTGTTAGCCGGTAGTGTCGAAGGGAAGGTGTGCATGATATGTATGGATCCGTACCAATGTATTCATTTCGAAACATCTCCAGTAAAGCATCGTTCAATTTGGGCTGCAAAACACTTTCTTTGTGAGAATTACGGAATGATATTAAATTGATTCAAAACTCAATATTTTGCCTAACCTGCTTCAAGAACCCTGCTCCAAACGCCCTGGTCACCTTAAGCCGTCCTTTAACTCTGTCGTTCACTATGCAATGGCTGTCGTCGGGGTGTTCGTTTTTTATTCTGGTTACTTCCTGAGTTCATCAAAGTAAAAATATCATGTAACAAGAATATTACAAGAGGCAGAAATGATCAAAGCAAACATTAGCAAAAGGAACCTGAACTGATCCTAAGTATGCTATAAATGCAGATAAGATAACCGAGCAACTGGAAAAAAAAAAAAGATTAAGAAGATTTAACAAGGACAGACTTACATCTTCGATGCTCGTGCTGTGATCTGTTGTCAGCTGCAAAGCAACCAGTTTTGTGTGCGGCAAAGGGGCTTTGTTATTCACTGTAGTATCCTTATTATCCACAACCGAATGCTCTTTGTCTAAACCATTGTGTCTTTCTTCTACTCTTCCTGTCTCCACACTCGCACCTGTTTCTTCAACCTGATACCGTGCAACAAGAGCCCTACTATCCCCTATGTTCATTATATACACATCGTCATCTCTCATCAGCGCAACCAGTAGGCATGAACCCATCAATGCAAGCTCAGGATTTGTATTGAGAACCTTATCAGTCATTTCTAAGAATGCTTGCTCTGTGGATTGAAGACCATTTGACATTGCCTTTAGAACCAACTCATGATCAACCGTACCCGCTTTTCGTCTCTTTTTCCTCTTCTCAACCTTTTCTTCTACTTTAATATTATCTACCTCCTCAGTTTCATTTTCCTCCACACCAAACTTCCATGGGAACAACTTCCCCCCAGACATTCCCCGTTTAGATAAACCCTGCTTCAGTTTCGATAAAAGCAACCACCTCGTACTTCCCAGTGACACGGCATTGCCTACACTAATAGCATCGTCCACTGAGAATGCAAACCTATCAGAACCTGAAAGATCCAACGCATCTTCTGCTTGACACTCTGCAAGAAGCTCCCATAGCCGTTTCTTCTCCTTCACTTGTACAACCTCCAATGGAGACGTCAATCTCTTTCCTATCTCGTTTTCTTCTTTCTCTGTTGCTTGACAGCTCGAACTCGCCCTTTCGTCGACTTGAGCCTCAACTTTACCTTGTTGCTCTAACTCTAGAGTGTTACTATCTAACCTACTCTCATCCGTCGAATTTCTTACTGTTGGATTATCATCTTCTTCCTCCAATTCCCAGAACAACCCCTGTAACTCACTATGAACAGCACGGTAGAGATTAGCCATCAAAAACTCCGGAGCATCAGGTCCATTGAAACCGTCGTAGATTCCAGCAAAAAGCCATCCTTGCTTCTCGAAAACCGCTAATTGCACTCTATCCTCACCTGCCTTCCCCAATGCCCACTGCAAATCGCCACTTCCCTTCTCTCCGGTGACATCCTTGACGGGAACGCCACCGTCGGGTCTAACGATGTTCAACACGGGAAGAACCCATGACCGTTGCTTCCTCTCCCATGAAAGGCTCTTCTTCCTTTTCCGTCTCTTCTTCGACGCGGAATCAGATCTCGAAATCTCTCCGGCCGGATCCAACGGACCTGAAGTCGCGCCTCTTTCGATCGGACCCGACATGAAGAGACCCGACTGATCCGGACCTGACGGCACATGCTGAAGCGGAAGAGCACTAAACGACGACGTTCCTTCAAAGCCATTGGCATTAACGACATTGCTCCTAACGCCGCCGCCGAAAGTGCTCACAGTGGCATCATCGTAAATATCTTCAAGCTGAAGGACAGTTTTGGAATTCGAGGTATTGGCGCTAACGGAAGCGCCAGAAATCGTCACAAACCTTCCGGTGTGAAGCTGCTCGGAAGATCTTGAAGCTCGGATCCGACCCGGTTCACGCGAGGGAGATAACCGGAAGGAACCGGAAGGAGAGACGAACCGATCGGAAGGAAACGGAGAAATGAAGCGATTAGAAGACGGGACGTAGCAGTAAGAATGACCCAAAGTCTCATCCAACGGCTCACAGAGAGAATCGATCGGATTGGAATGAGACGGATGCGCCGCCGTCGCTGCTGCCGACGAAGAGTGACGCTCCGACGAGTGATGACGGTGACCTTGTTTGAAGCAAGGTAAAAGGGAGGAGAATACACTTCCCATCACATTTGATTCCAACACTCGTTTTTTTTTTCCCCAGATTGCTGAGAAAATCTTCCGAGAAAAAGAAACAAAAATTTTCTCGGCGATGATTCTGAATTCGCGAGGTGTAAAGAAAAAATTGTTTAAGAGAGAGAGAGACTTTTGTCGTCTTGTTTGGAATTTAAATATGTTTTCTTTTTAAGCTGAGACGACTTTAGTGATTTTGAATTAGCAGAAACATTGACTCTTTTGTTTTCGCTTTTTTTTTTCTTGCCTCGATTACGTAAATACCACCAACATTGTCACTTAATTACATAAATCACCCTTGTAATATTCTTAACCCAGTTAAATCAATTTGTACGAATATATAGTTAGTGATATTATAATAAGATGCAAAATGCATTGCTGGAAAAATGAATAACAAAGACCACAATATCAGAACTTTTTTATATGAGTGACCAGTTTCGTTTCTGCAATTAGTCAAGTATTTGTTAAAACTAGAGATACTTAGCCGAATTC